GGTTTGCAGATGGGCTTCTCTGACCCTCAAAAGCAGGCCTGGCCCCTGCAAAAATATAACGACACACGTCCCCTCGCCCCCGTGAGTGAAGTGGCGCTCTCGATTTTGCAGACCTTCGCTGCTCTAACAGGCCGTTCTGCCACAATGATACATGCAGCCGCCAAGTTCTCATCCATGTCTTTGTCTGCCAAGCCTTTTGCAGACACCAGGCTGCACGCTCCATGGCTCGCGCAAAGACAGTATTGAAGTGTGTGCTCTCCTTGTAGCCTGACTTTTAAAAACATCGTAAAAAATTGACTTAATCCTGTGACATGCATACCGCCCCTTTGCTGATAGGTCGATCAAAAATAAACCACAGATCGGCCAATGCTGTTCATAAGAAGAGAGGGAAGGTATTTCTTATTCTTCCGACTTCCCCCCTCACCCTCATCCGTTTGAAGATTTCAGCCAGGGACCTGTTCCACCTATGACCTGGGCTTTTTCAGTTAGTGGGTTTTCAACTCCGTGTTTCCCATAGACTCGCACGTGGTTCTTCTCCCTGCTCAGAACTGCGAGGGCCTCGTCTCTGAGCACCCAGGATGACGTTCCTTTCAAACCAGTTCAACCGAAATGGATATCTAGGAAGACAGGGCAAGGTTTAAACAGAACTGCATAGTATTCCCTGAGATAAATGTTTAGTATGGTTGTAAAAATCTGATTAAAAGAACTTCTGAACCGACAGTTTCCTGCCTCACATGCAAGGTAGTACAAAATATAAAATAGCCCCCAAATCTATTACCCTCCAAAGGATATTTGCTGAAAATTAAACGTTTTGCTTCGACATTTTTATACCATGATTGTCATATGCGGTGGACCTTGCCAGGAAACATTTTCAAGGCCACCGCATTTCGTTATCATTTCTGTGAGTTTAACACAATGGGGATCGTTAACACTTACTTTCAGATCACTATTTTATTCCAACATGGCATCAATGTGACAATCATTGTCACAATAAGCATGACTCTTATCATTCCATCGCAGAGTACAGATTCGACTGCAAGCATAAATAGCAAAGCGCACTCGATCTGTGAAGGATTCGTGAAGCACAGACTGATAATTAGACCGATTTGGAAATACCAATTAAGTAGCAATACCTTTCACACATCTATAAATCTTTAAATAATAACTCTCTTAAGCAACTACCTTAAATGTTGTGCTATAAGCATTTCTTCTGACTGATAAGAATGCAAACATACACGATTATCATTGCCTTTGGGGTACTGAAACTAAACCTCTTTTCCAACAAAAACGTTTAAATTCTATAAATAAAGAAAACTTTAATGTATATAGTGAACTCGATCATGGAATTAGAACAGTAAGCGTTCTTATGTAATGGGAAAAACACGTCTTAGGTTTAAATGGAGGCTCGAGATTATTTTTAGAAGGAAGTTGGTAATTGTGAAAATGAGCAGAATGACTCAGAAGTGGAACGCTATTTATCTACCGATGAATTGATCGTTCTACCTATAAGGAGAAATTTAGCACGGAACAGAATTTTAGTCCATAAACATGCTTAGAAAAAATTTTAGAATATAAATTTCAAAGTGAAAATGTTTTCTAGTTATCCCGGATTACTTTTTCTGTCCCATTTCCATATTTCTAGTCATTGCTGTCATTGGGACCAGAACCATAGTAGCAGACTATTGTGTTAAGTGTAGGCACATCCTCATAGACAGTGACAATGTCAGCCGTTTATTAAGCATCTGTTACGTGTCACGCATTGCACCATTTCCTCTTTCTAGGCTATAACACCCTGTTTAACACCCACGACCACCCTGTGGTAGACAGATGGTCACACAGAGCTTTAGAGGAAAGTAGACTAATAATGTATTTTTAAGTGGGTAAAGGAGGCTGAGCTAACTCAAGTCCTCTTCCTTTCATTTATCCTAGGTGTTTATCTCTAATAGAGCGTAAATTTATTTCCTTTGGATTTCATCACTGAAATCCATCTTTAGCATGCATTATAGCCTTCTCTTGCTGCTTTAAACTGATATATTGTATTCATGATTTTATTCTAAGTATGTGATACATACAATATGCTGTATATTTTATACTCTTGGATGTGAATGTCATATATATACTTTAAAAAATTAAACATGTAAGCATTAATAAGCAAACATAAATTTATTTTAACTTTAACATTATTGAAGAATAATTGACAGATATAATTGTATATATTTATTATGAATTTGACCTCAAAGGCAGGAGAAGTAAAAGCAAAAATAAATGAATGGGACTACATCAAACTAAAAAGCTTCTGCTCAGCAAAAGAAATCGTCAACAAGGTAAAGAGACAACTATCTGTATGGGAAAATATATTCACAAGCAATGCCTCCGATAAGGGCCTAATATCTAAAATATACAAAGAACTCATATGACTCAATAACAACAAAAAAAATCAAATGATCCAATCAAAAAATAGGCAGAAGACCTGAACAGACACTTCTCCCTAGAAGACATACAAATGGCCAATAAATATATAAAAAGATGCTCAACATCTTTATGCAGATTAAAACTACAGTGAGATACCATCTCACACCTATTAGAATAGCTATAATTAACAGGACAAGTAATAACAAATGTTGGAGAGGATTCAGAGCAAAAAGAACCCTCATACACTGCTGGTGGGACTGTAAATTGGTACGGCCACTGTGGAAAACAGTATGGAGGCTCCTCTAAAAACTAAGAATTGATCTACCATATAATCCAGCAATCCGTCTACTAGGTATTTACCCCAAAGACTTGAAAACCCATATCCAAAAAGGTATTTGCACACGGACGTTCATAGCAGCATTATTCACAGTGTTCAGGACATGGAAGCAACCGAAGTGTCCTACGACAGATGATTGGCTAAAGAAGCTGTGGCACATATATACAATGGAATATTATTCAGCCATAAGAAGAGATGAAATACTGCCATTTGCGACAACCTGGATGGACCTCTAAGTGAAATAAGCCAGACTGAAAAAGTTGAAAGCCACATGATATCATGTGGGCTATAAACCTAAAAGCAACAAATGAACAGGACAAACAGAGACTTAGGGACATGGACAATGGACTAGTGGTTACCAGAGGGTAGGGGGTGGGGGGAAGGAAGAGGAAGACAGGGTAAAGGGGGTCAAAAATAGGGGGGTTGTGGGAGGGCGAAGTGGGTAAAGGAGATCAAATATATGGTAGCTGAAGAAAAAAAATAATCGTATATATTTAAAGGATACATTGTAATGACTGGATATACATCTTCTTTGTCGAATGATTATCAAGATCAGGATGGTTAATTCATCTTTCACCTCACGTTATTCACACAGTTAACTTTTTCTTTTTTATTATTTGGTGAGAATGCTTAAAATTCACCTTCAGCAACTTTCAAGTGTGCAATATCGTTTAACTGTAGTCACCATGCTGGTACATTAGAGACTCAGAACTTTTTGGTACAACTGAAAATGTGTACCCTTTCACCTGTATCACCCCTGTCCCCTTCCCCCACCCTGTACCCTTTGACCTACTTCACCCCATTTTCTCTTTCCCCAACCCCTGGCAACTATACCGTTCTATTTTCTCTGTTTCTAAGACATTAGCTCGATTGAGTGATTGATTTTAGATTCCACGTACAAGTGAGATCATATAATAGTTGCCTTTTTCTTTCTCCGGCTTGTTTCTTTGCATAAGGCCTTTCAGATTCATCCATTTGTCATAAATGACAGGCTTTCCTTCTTTTGAATGGCTGAATGATATTCCATTGTATATGTACACCACGGTTTCTTTGTCCACTCATCTGCTGAGGGACATTTAAGTTGTTTGCATATCTTGGTTACAGTGAATTTTGCTGCAATGAACATGGGGTGCAGATATCTCTTTGAGCTAATGATGTCATTCAATACGTACCTGGTAGTAGGATTGCTGGATCGATAATTTTGTTTTTATTCTAGGGAAAATATAATTTTTAAAAAATTATTAATAAATATATTTTCAATGTTATATAATGCTATATGTTATGTAATGCTATTCGATAGAACGATTAAGATGTAGAAAATAATCATTCTAAATATTGCATACCCTTAAGTTATACATGTTAAATTATTAAATATACATATTTATATTCCTCAGTGTAATTAAACCATATCGAAGCGCATATTAACTTAAGTTGTATAACAGCAATGAAGGAAATAAATACTGAGTGCTACGTGGGCACTATAATCTGCTGAAATAGCACTATAAGAAAAAAAATCCTTAAAAATTGGAGCCAGTTCTAATTTAGTTCAGCAGAAAGACCAAGAAAAGTTTGTCCGTATAAACAATTCGTTTGTAATTATTGACTGAAATGACTAAATTATAAAATAATCTGGTCAAATCAGCTAAAAATGTGTTGACAGTTAAAAATTTCAGATTAGCTATATTCAAGCCAAGTAAGACTGAATTATGCAGTCATATTACACTAAAAAAAAATTACATCCATCATTGAAAGAGCATACTGAACTATTTTCAAAGACCATATACTAGCTATCGTTTCTGACATACATATCATGTGGGATATAAACCTACATTTAATAAATATTCTTTTAAAATTTCACTTTTATTTTGCTTTTATTAGCAAACTGATAAAATATAGAGCAAACTTTGACCAGAACATATTCTCTCTATAATATTCTCAAATGAACATATACATTATAAAAGAGCAATTTTTGTTCTCAAATGCTCTTTAAACTTTAAAAGATAAGTCTAGTTACCTATTTGTGGGTAAATATTAGGATTCATGAGACTTTATGAGGCAAGCGTATTTTCTTGTTACCTCAATGTCTCATGCTACTTGGTTCTTAATAAGGTATATCTTAAAATTAGTATACAAGGCAAATTACTAACTTAATGGACTTCTAA